GTCTTTCTTTATCAGAGTTTACAGTTGCGCGATGTTCAATGCTTCTGTATTCTCCATTGGTAATCATCTGCCATGTAAAATGGATTGAATGGGATAAGACTAGATTATATATGAAGCAATCTGCTTGCGTTGGAGGAAAACCATCATCCCAATGCCAGCGGCAACGGTATTCATACGCCATTGCCATGCAGGGCATCGGACTATGGAGAAATACTGGTATTCCTCATACGCAATCTGCCTGTGTCAACGTAAGGATGAGCGCAACGGCGCTAGGTCCCGCCATGGGACTTGGCGTCGATGCATATGGGTTTTCCGATAGGATGTGCATATGGCTCCTTTTTATTATTATTATTATTATTATTACAAATTATATATATTAATTTTTTATAATCTATTAGTAATCTTAACAAAATTATTTTATTAAAATATTATCAATAATCATATTTATCAAAGACAATATCATATATTTCAAATAATTTATACATTTAAAAGTAATAATAACATTAAAATATTTTAATTAATGTTTTGAACCTACAATTTTATTTGATTAGATAATTCTTAATTTAATTTTATTATCTAAATTAGGAATTATTATACGGAATAATAACAAATATTCGTAATTATATCATAAAAGTAATTATTTTAAATTTTAAAACATTACTAAATTAATGTGTTAATAATTAAAATATTTGTCATTCAAGTTATTATGAGTAATTAATTACATAAATATCATAATTATTAATATAAATATTTTAATATAAGTAATATTGAATTAAGATAATAATATAAAATCAAATTTTAATTTTAATATATAATATAAATATTTTTCTTGTATAATATATTTTTACTTAATATATATTATATTAACTAATTAGTTAATATATAAATTTATTTACCTATTTAATAAATGATTTAGAATATTATAGTTTAATAGTTTGAAATTATTATTAAATAGTCTTCTCATGAACCTATTCCAATCCAATCCAATCATATCCAGAAAGTCAATCTAATCCAATCCTGCCTCTCAAACTCAACCATAGTGTAAGAAAGCTGAACAATTCTGCATAAGTGAAGGTGCAAGAAAGACGTCTTTTGAATTAAATATACAAGTTGAAAAGATTACTGTGATTATTACCTCCAACATGTCTCCAATGTTGACTATGAAGGCATCTGGGAGTGGTGTAATAGGAATCCAGCTGCCATCTTTTTTGATCTGGCGACCTTCAACATCATTGATTTGCAGGAGAATTGTGAGACCTGTGGAATCAGAATGAGGACGGACACCCAAAACCTTCTCTGCCTCTGGACATGGAGGGTAATAGTTCATTCGCATTGCTTGAAGTCCATTTTCAAAAAAGTCTTATCATTTCTTCACCTTTCATGTTTAAAGCTTTTGCCATTTTTGATGTGAGAGCCTTGGCTATAGTTTTTAATTCCGTGGAGTAAACTTCCAAAGCCTCCCTGCATGAAAATGAAGGTTCAAGTACTATAATATTATTTTTCTTTTTCTTGACAAATGCATAATTGCAACACACAAAGAGAAAACCTGAGGGGAAGAGGAAGCTCAGGAAAAAAATGGGGTTTCCGCAGATGGGGTGGTTGGGTGATCATTCAGAACATGTCATTCCAATCAAGCTTTTGTTCCTCAGATACAATAAAGGTTTGTCCAAATCCTTCTATTTCTCCCGGAGACTGCAAAAATTTTTTCTTCTCTTCCATTTCGAGACTGAAGAATTCATGAATCCCTTTCTTTACTTTCTCTAGCAACGATGAGGTCACTCCATGATTGACCAACTGAAATCACAGAGAAATAAATGAAATAAAATAATGCAAGCATGGCTAAAACTAAAAGCATACGTTATATTTCACTATACGAATGACATTGTAGTTGCACAAAACCCAAGGAATTTACCTGGAAGAAACCCCACTCTTTGCAAGCAGAATGGAGCTTGACTAATTCAGAATCCATTAATTTTTCAGAAACAAAGTTCTGCATGTCAATAACTGGCATCTCTGAAATCAAAACAGCGTCAGAAGTTATGGGTGCATTTTGTTCTGGACGACGAATGTATCTGGAAGGGACAGTCACCATAGGCTTTTTGGCCAACTCCTGAACACAAGGCACAGGTAGTGAACTTCCTAGTTTTGCCATCTTCAATTTGTTCCACAAATATTAGATAAATCTTATTATACAGATTTCTTCAAAATCTGTCTTATTTATAAGGGTTGTCTTAATGTGAATCTTCGTAAACGGACAAATACTTATTAGAGCATCTTTTTCTATATTAATGTGAATCTTTATAAAAAGACAAAATACTTATTTGAGTATCTTTTTCTTATAAATATAAAATATCTTTATTAATTTTTAAATATAAAGAATACAATTTTTATTCAAGTCTAATATATTCTTTAAATTTAATGAAGATGTTCTTTATTTTCAAAAAATACTTAATGGAAGAGAAAAATAATAAATAAAATGTATAGAAAGTTGTAGTTTATTAATTAAAATTAAGATAAAGAGTGAAATTTGACTCTCTAATGTGGAGAGCTAAACTCACTCTCTAATTTATATTTTAAAAATAAAGAGTCTATTGACTCTTGTTTTTATAGATAGACTCTTTATAATAAAGAGTTTAAGTCATATAAAGAGTCATTTGAAGATGCTCTTATGTAGATGTATTACAAAATGTTTTTTTTTTTTCTATTAATAAATAAAGTGTATTTAAATAATTAAAACTTTTTTGTCTGTTTGTAGTATTAATTAATGTGTATATTAAAGAAAATACTATACATATAACCCGATCTCATAAATTTTCTCTTACAATTGTGACGTGATAACTCTCAATAGGTTCCGCTTACTCAATAATGAGTCATATTTATCCAATTAAGAATTATCACATACGCTTACAAAAAAAAAAATTGTAATATTGGGTTGTGTACCAGACTACCAACCTTCTTTATTGGTGTACTAAACGCTATTAATAAAGCCAAAAAAATTAGAAGGTTTCCAAGTTCAAATTCATAAGAGTATCTTTTCCAATAAAGAATCTTTGACCTGAACAGTACCAGTGGTGAATGACAGTAAGGGGTAAGGCATGTAATTGATTTGGATTATGTAGTGAGAATCTTTCAACAGCAATCAGAAAACTCTAAATTAGAAATGGATTAACATTTTTCGTTGTCAGTATATATGAATATTCCTTTTCCCTTGGAATAATTCTGTCCGGCTGGTTAGTATTTTATTCTCTTGACTCTTGAGGGTTCGTAGCGCTCCCATAACACGTTGCAAACTTACATCACCATAAACCTGCTACATTAACTACTGGTTTTGTTATGGTTGATTGGTTTAGATATTCACCTGATTCCCTGGAGACCTGAGAAAGGTTGTTATAATTTAATGCATTACAAGGGTTGTCTTCTTTTTGAGAGAATCGGTGGCAATGTAACTTATTTTACACTCACAGAAGCTCTGGGCAATGCAAAGTAACTTATTTCACACAAGGATCAAAGGTCTTGTGACATCCCACATCACTTGTTTAACACCTCAGTATATTGTTATGATGTTTCTCTTATCCACTTTAAATAGTAAGACTCAGAACGCATCTTCAATATTACAAATAAATCAAGAATAACAATTTAATTAGAATCCTTGATTTGTTTCCAATTATAAAACCACACGTTCCTAATAAAAGGGATGCGCATGTTTCTATAAAAATACAAAAAAAAAAAAGGAGGCACTTTGAACCCAACAGACGTCTTACAAATTGTGAAAGAGATGAAGATTAATTAAATGAGTAAACGACATTTTCCCACCAAAAAGTTTCAAAATAACATTTTTTTTATCAAACGTTTATATTTCATTAATACTCAAAATATATATTACTTTCTTAACAGTTTTTCGATAAATTAACAAGAGTCGGAATAAGAGAACTTTTGTAGAGTAAAAGACAATGGATTAAATGACGATGACCGATTGAATACTTGTCGCCAGAACTAGTCGAAAATCATCTAAAAATAAAAAATTCTAACTTTGCGATAACTGACAATCGATAAGAAATTAAGTGTCGAAATAAAAGAAATTTTGTAGAGAAGAGATCAAATATTCAAATAATGGTAACAAAGAATTTTTATTATTAGAATCAACTTTGGATAGTAATAAAATATTAACTTCAGTGAAAAAATAATATTTTCAAACTTTTTGAGTGTAAAAATATCATAAAAGCAAACTTTGGATGAGAAAAAGTCGTTTACTCTAATTAAATACCTTATTCCTCATAAACTGTTAAAACGTACCCATGTGGGCTTAACGCCTGAAGCAAGTAAAAATTTTGATAGTGGGCTTAGGCCTGAAGAAAACAAATATTTTGATAGTGGGCATAGGTGTTTCAATTTTGATAACGGGCTGAGGTGTTTAGATTGATATAAGAGCAAGCCCAACCAAAAGTGTCCTCACTCCTCACCGCATCCCAACTTTGATTCTGAATTCTACAGAACTTATTTTTGAAGTTTGGAAACCAAGTAAAGAACAGAGGCTAACTCAATTAGTAGATCTACGCTACATCTTAACTATCCATTTATAAGGCATCCCATGCCCTAACTGGGCAAGGCCTACCTTCTCATGTTCAACATACGACGGGTCTCGTCAGGAAATAACCAATCTAAATTAAAGTTCGATTTTTTAATGATTCAGCTTTATTCTTCATTTACACACTTCTCAAGTTCTCATAAAATGGAAGGGAACTATAGTTGCTTAAAATGACTTGAATGGCATGATTAGACCCCAAAATTCCAGTAAGCTGCAAATTCGCATTTTGTGGTAATTGGAGTATTTGGATTAGTTAATACACACCCTAACTAATCTCTAGGATTTATTAAACACTTTACAAATCTCAAAGACTGTTATTATGGTTGATGATCCACAAAAAAAAAAAAAAAATTTGAAACACCATTATAATCCATGTTACATTCACAGTACAAAATAAAAAAAAAAAACTCTAAGAAACAGCCACTAAATTTTACTCAACAAGAACATAGAATCGGCAGAACTTTCATATCAAATAACGATAAATTAAATAAACTTCTAAGCTATCAGACCTAAACTTTAAGCAAAACCATCATATAAATGTTAACAGTCAGAATCTGCAATTTTGATACAGGAACAAACCCCCTTCTGTGTTTCAAGCTACTCATTTCTTGCCACAATCTTGAATTTTCCTGTTTGTTGTTGCTGCATAGAGAACAAAAAGCACACCAACAAATCATTAACACACAAATTAGTAAGTCGATATCCGAAAAGAACAAAGAAATTATGTTTGATATATAATTTTACCTTCTTCCATAGCTCGGTATGGTCTTTGCAGAACCCGGCAACAACACCTCCTTTCTTCCCTTCCTTATACTCAATACAAAGATCTTCCTTCAATCCACAAGTGACATGGAACCACAGAGGACACTTCGGCTCAGAACACTCAATTGCACATCCTCTTTTACTCCTACAAACGTAACATTTCTTCTCCTCCCTTGCCTTTGGCACTTTAGAACAATCAATCCCTTCTCTTCCCTCTGGATCCTCGAAGAAAACTTCGGGAACCAACACCGCGCACACGACATGCGCCCACGAGCCATCATTAGTTGGCTTTATGGCACCATCCTTCACCGGACACAAACAGCAAGAAAATTGAGAACTTTTCACTTTACTTGCCAAACATTGAGCACAAAACCAATCGCCTTCCGGGATATTTTTCACCAGAGGATTGCCATAACAAGTGGTGTGCACCATCAAATCGCATCCATCACATAACACAATGGGATCTTTTGAATCCCCATCTGTGCTTTGACATATTGCACACACTATCCCATCGTCATCGTCTTGTTCTGCACAAACAACCTCTTCATCTTCTGAACCTTTGCTTTCAAGATTAGAGTTGGACTCTTCTTTTGTTTCAGCTTTTTCATTGAAACACGGCTTCCACTCAACATTAAGATCAAGACTCAATGAAGGCGAATCGGATACTAAATCCGGTTGAAGAGCCCACACCCTTTTCTTAGCTGGCAAACAATACGTTGTTGTCGAAACAGGTATCTCAGGTTCACATTGAAATTGGGATAATTTTCTCTTCTTGGCCGGAAGAAAGAACGTTGGTTCTTGATTTTGCTGCTCTTCTCGTTGTTGCATAAGCCGGAATCTTTTCAAAGGGGGCAAAGCTTCAAAATTGGTATCCATTTTGGTGGTGAGAAGATGAAAGAAAGCTTCAGGATTTTCTTGAGAAAAGTAAAGTTGAGATCTGGGTTAGGATAGTTTAGAGTAAAAAACTTAAAATTAAAGAGAGAAATAGTGGCGGGATTGTTAAAGAATCTTTTCTGGGGATTTAAGTTTTAAGGTTTTGAGTTTGGTTTTGGTTGTTGGCGCCAATCTGAAACTCGAAACGACTTTGTTTGGAAAGTTTGAGTTTTTGTGGGTTACTGAAATCGAGCCCGCCAAAAATTTGGATCTTTTAGCGGGTTTGGATCCTCTTGTTTGGCGGGTCAGATCTACAAAACAAAATGTCTCAATGGCTTTAAATAATCAATTTATTTTTATAATTTTTTTATTTTGGATATTATTGTTGTTACTTTACAGTTGGTTTGTTTCTATAAAAAAAAAAAAAAATTAATTCTATATGTCAATAGTTAGTTTCAGTTAGAAGATTATTATAATCGGGTGCGTTTGGCTCCCTATTTTTATCCATATTCCGGATCATATTCTCCAAATAATGTTTGGCACATTATTCCAGAAATATTACTCTATTTTTTAATTACTTTTAGACCCCATAAGGTTATTAATTTCACTAAATGCCCCCTGAATTTTTTTTTTAAAAATAAACAAAAACCCCTCATCAACCCAACTTGTCAGATTCCGGCAACCACCGTCGGTGATAGCCGGAATCTGTACAACGGCCTAAATTCCGACCATAAATGGCCAGAATTACACTAATCTATCTGGCCGTCAGCGACGGCCAAAGAAATGGCTGTCGTTGACCGTCAACGACGGTCAAAGATGTGGCTGTCATTTTCGGCTAGATCCGTGGTGGATCTGGCCGGAAAAGGTCATAATAATGCGTTATGGCACAGATCCGATCGGTCTATGTCGTAACGAAATTTTCCGGTCAGATTCCGACGGTGGCAGCTGGAATCTGACACTGCAGGTGGTGGGGGTGTTTTTATCATTTTATATAGTAGGGTCATTAATTTAATTAGTAAACCTAAGGGCTTTTTCATAAATTTTTCAAATTTACCTCGTAATACTCTCTTATCCAACAATCCAATACTATCCTCAAAATCCAATCTAAAATACTACACCAAACGCATAATATTATTTCTAAGTTAATATTAATTTAGTACGTTAAAATTAATTAATTAATTATTGAGGGCATCACTATGATGCCAGCAACTTAATCAGATCTTGATCAGTCTCTGGGTATATCTGAAATACAGGACATTATTCTATTTATTAATTCAATGATGGTTAAAGATCTAGTAATGTTACTGGATCTGTTGAATAAAAAAAATTAGATGTTTTATGAAAATTAGTTTATAAATAATAAGTACTTATAAACTAAAAATTATGTGGTTGATAAGTAGTTAACATATAATTATATTTTTCTATAAAGTGACTAAAAATAGTACTACATTAAATGAGAGTATACTATAAAATTTTAAAATTAAATAAAAATAATATAATAATATATTTAATCGTAGTTTATAAGTAATCTGTTAATAAATTAAAAAAAATTGTTTATGAATACTTTGCTTATAAGTTAAAAAACAAGTACTTCGCCAGTTCTCCTTAACTTATTTTTTTTTTGCTTATAAATTAAAAAAAATTATGAACAAACATGTCATCCTAATTTCAGAGTTTTAAGATAGTTTGACCTTTGATAAACACCGCCAACAAAAATGGTCTCCGAACTTAACATCGATGCCTTAAAATTAGGGGTGTTCAAAAAAATACAAAAACCGAATCGAACCGATAACCGAACAGGAAAACCGGTTAACCGAAAAAACGGTTCGGTTACGGTTCGAAAAATTCAAAAAACCGAATTTCCAGTTCGGTTAACGGTTCGGGAAAAAATAAAAAGCAGTTAACCGAAACCCGTTTTTTGAACCGGTTTTACAAAAAAAAAAAAAAAATATATATTATATATATATATTAAATAAAAATAAATATTATATATTAAATAAAAATAATAATATTTTTAATGTATCATAGTATGGTCAATGGATTATATGAATGTCTAAATTTTTATTTGGATATGTATTATTTATATTTACAATTTAATTTAGGAAAAAATAAAAAAAATAAGTTTTATAAAAAAAAGGGAAAACCGGTTAACCGAAAAACCGGTTTTCCCTCTAAACCAGTTCGGTTTCGGTTCATGAATTTTTTCGAACCGAAAAACCGGTTCGGTTCAAAACCGCTTTTGAACACCCCTGCTTAAAATACACTTCAATATTGCAGCAGCAGATTTTGAAACACGAAGCTGAAAATTTCACAGCAACATGTAGTTTTCATTTTCAAGATAAAGAAATAATTTCTATTTCCCACATCCAAATTCCAGTCAAATTTACTTGAGACACAAACTGATATCATCTAGATTCCGGCAGAAGAACATTCATCAAGTTCAGCCCTATGATATTGATGAGTAACAGTCCACCCAACACAGTCTAGTGTGTCAACACTCAACAAGAGAAATGTTGTGCTCAATTTCATTCCCCAAACAAAAACTCCATTTTCAACTAAACAACACACACATTTCAAACCACCCTCCAACAATTAAACGACTACAACTCCCTTCAATTTCTTGTGTCCGATCCTCAAATCAACTCATTCTCACATCCCAGTTAAGCAATTACACTGGGAACCCACCAACTTCTCTAACTCTCCAATCAAAACCCACTAATTTTTCACCCAAAACATTTGCTCCTCTTCGTTGTGACATCTCGTCGAACAGTTATGAAACAAACAACAACCGCAGTTTTCGGGACTGGATTGAGTTGATCGGTGAAGCAATATCCACTGCATTTCCGATATGGGTATCTTTGGGTTGCTTGTTGGGTTTGGTGAAGCCAAGTTCCTTCAACTGGATCACGCCAAAATGGACCATTTTTGGTATCACTCTCACCATGCTTGGTATGGGCATGACTCTCACTCTTGATGACCTACGTGGCGCTTTTTCCATGCCCAAGGAGATTATTTCTGGCTTTGTACTTCAGTACTCGGTCTGTGTTTCGTTTCTTTATTATCCCATCAAGTATATACATGTTTGATTCAAATGCAAAATGTTTGGTATTTGTTTGGCTACAAACTTAGATTACACATTATAAAAGGGTGATATGCTTACTGTTGTTATTAATTAGTGCGGCTAAATGTGTATTTTTCAATCCAATGATGTAGAACTTTTAATTGATTTTTAGGTTGATTTATATATATTTTAACAAGAAACTGTTCAATAACAATAATAAATCAATGAATAGATAAACTTTTTTGTTGCAGATATGTACATTCTGGGACATACTTACTTTCCAAGGCAGAATACTTAGAGATTCTATGCAAATGTTTATTGAATTTGTAAAATTGTTAAGGGTGATGGTTAAAGTCAAGGCATATTCGACAACGATGAGATTTATGTTCAGGAGAGTCTATAAGATAGATTCATTGAGAATCTAATGATGCTTTTTCACCCTTAACAATGTCATTCACGTGCTCAAATCTTAATAATCAAGTTGAGGATTCAATTACTCCTCCCCTCACAATCCTTTGCTCTTTACTTATAAATTTACCATTATTTTTTTCTTATTTCTCTCTTTTTCTCTGGTGAGTTGGTTTCCTGTAGCTTCATTGACCCTTTTGACATTTTAAACCATTGTAAGGGCAAAGAAAAATTGTATAAAATAGTGCTGCAGTGTCCTGAAGCAATAGTGCCTCAATTTGCAGACGAAAGATGTTCAATTTTAGCCTATGTCAGTATGACCTAGAGTACTTGTACTAAATTAGAAGAGCATGGGTGATTGGTGCAGGTGATGCCAATATCAGGGTTTCTTGTGAGCAAGCTCTTAAATCTGCCATCGCATTTTGCAGCTGGTTTAATTTTGGTTGGTTGCTGCCCTGGTGGTAATTATGTCTGTTAGTCTTGGCGTATTGAGATATTGCTCATTCCATGTTTAACCTCATTTTTGATAGTTTGTTTATACCATGGTTTCAGGTACAGCAAGTAACATTGTCACTTATATTGCACGGTCTGTGACTTCATGTAACAAAATTCTTGCTTTCTCTTTTGTTGTTACGTCTGCCTAAGGCAGAAGATCTGATGGCCTTTCTGTTTTCCAGTGGTAATGTGGCACTTTCAGTGTTGATGACAGCAGCGAGCACCCTATCAGCTGTGGTGGGTAAACTTTTGCTGCTTCCTTCCCTACTGCTTTTTTCCTTGAAACTGGTGTTTAGGTGGTGCTATTTTATTTTGTATTGATGTAGATGCAACGTCTGGTGTAAATTTAGTTCTCTTTCATCTTTCCAACAGATTATCTACCAACATCTCCTTTTTATGTTTTGTTTTGATTTCCTTCTATTTTCTAGTTAAAAAGTTGTGAGAACAGAAGGTTCTTTTCTCTTGAAATACCTGCCTTTTAGCATTTGACTGCACAAATATTTTATTCCATTTTCTCGTTTTCAAAGAAATTATATTTCAGAAACTAATGTGTCCAGGCACTTTTCCCCTTAACGATATCCACTAAAACTTGTTATTCCATTCCATCTTTCAGGTGATGACCCCTTTTCTCACAGCTAAACTTGCTGGACAATATGTTGCGGTAGATGCAGCAGGGTTATTAATGTCCACATTGCAGGTAAGGTCTCTTGCCGCTGTCTCATTGCTTAAAAATTGTTAATTGCTGTTGTTTTTCTACTATTCCTGCTGCTATTTCTCATTGTGTTATGACCATAGGTTGTTCTTCTTCCTGTACTGGCTGGTGCATTTCTAAACCAGTATTTCCCAAGCCTGGTTAAGTTTGTCTCTCCTTTGATGCCACCCATTGCTGTGGGAACTGTTGCTCTACTGTGTGGGAATGCAATTGCCCAGAGTGCTTCTGCAATTCTAATGTCTGGTCAACAAGTGGTTCTTGCTGCGTTTCTTCTTCATGCATCTGGATTTTTCTTTGGTTATGTACTTGCAAGGGTGCTTGGGATTGATGTAGCATCTTCAAGGACCATCTCTATTGAGGTTGGTATGCAGGTAATAATTATTATGAAATTTTCAATTTCTAAGATAAGAGCAGCTCCTTCTTGTTTCAACCAATACTTAGGAGATGTTTGTTATTTTATTTTTGTATTAACCAGATGGAAATATTTTGTATAGGAGCGGCTGCTTTTATTTATTTTTTTGTTGCCAGTATCATCACCTACATTCATATTAATCCATTAAATGTTTCAGAACTCGGTGCTTGGAGTTGTTCTTGCCACTCAACACTTCGGAAATCCTCTCACCGCGGTACCATGTGCAGTTTCCAGTGTCTGTCACTCAATCTTTGGAAGCGTCTTAGCAGGATTTTGGAGACGCAGTGCACCCTCACCCAAGCAAATGCAAGATTGAAATCACATATTAAAATTTTATATAACCTTTAAATAACTCTCGAATCATTTCCCTTCCCTTCTAGTATTTGAAATGTATAATTAGTCATGTGGTGATTTCCCCGAACATAAACATCTGAGGTAGATGCATTGTCATTCTTCATTTGTAGAGGTAATGTACGGGCATCTTACCTCTACAAATGGGGTGTGTTTGTTTTGTTATTTTGGATATGATTTTTGAAATAGTATTGAGGAGTTTAGTTGGGTTATTATTACGAGAATAAGATTTAAATAACATGTGTTTGGTAGAGTATTTTGACTTTGTTATTTGTGTTGAATAAATTGTTGAATATTTATTTAGTATATTTTTTATAAACGATTTATTAATACAATATTTTTGTGCATTTTGTTAAAATAATTTATTATTACAACCTAAACATTTATCAATTTACATTTTAATAATATTAAACATTTGATTGGTAATTTCGTAATCACTAAATTAAAAAAAAAAAAAATCTCATATTAATTCCAAATATCAATTCAACTATTTAAAAACATCACATTAATACACATATGACAAAGCTACTAATTATCAATCCTTAGAATTGTTTGTACACATATTTTATTAACAACTACGACATGGTCATATGTGCTGCCCACAGTTCAGTTATTATGTTATCCCGTACAATTATCATGTCATCTATAATACCTTGTTGCGGTTGACTCGATCCCTCTCCATTTCAGCCATCTTTTACCTCGTTTTGGCCATCAAAATATACTTGCATATTACCCATATTTTCAATATACCGTTGGAAGATAGGGTCCTCCATATTGTATATTCTGATAAAATTATGAAGTACATAACATGCCATAACAATCTTCCCTTGTTTGTCCAACGCACAATTGCTCATTCCATTGAGAATACGAAACCTTTTTTTTTTAAAACACCAAAGGTTCTCTCGACAACATTACGGAGTGATACATGTCTGTAGTTAGACAACTCTTGTGGCCCCCTTTCGATTACGACGGTGATATAACAATCTTCCCTTGTTTGTCCAACGGGCAATTGCTCATTCCATTGAGAATACGGAACCTTTTTTTTTTTAAAACACCAAAGGTTCTCTCGACAACATTGCGGAGTGATGCATGTCTGTAGTTAGACAACTCTTGTGGCCCCCCTCCGATTACGGTGGTGATCATGAATATGGTAAGCCATTCGCCTATGAGGGGCGATGAACCCCTCTCTATTTGGATAACCCGTATCAACCAAATAGTATTTTCCTGTAATAAAATAACACATGTTATTTGAATTCTAGGGCCTTAAAAGTGGAGCCAATACACTATAATACGTAAAGAAGATACCTATACCTGGTGGAGGATGTGGGAATCCAGAATTAGAATCATCAAAAACTGAATTTAAAACTCTTGAATCATGCGTATATCCCTCTCACCCAGTGACGACATAACTGAACATCATTCTAAAGTCGCATACAACCATTACATTCTGTGACAACGTTCCTTTGTGATTCCGGTACCTATCGCCAAACTCCTGTGAAACCAAAGAGTACACATGTGCGCCATCAATGGCTCTAATACAGTTCTATCATCAAAATTGAATTTTAGTAATGTTAACCAACTATCAACATTAATAACATAATGAACTTAACTACCCACAATATAAAACATAATGAAGAAGTACCTTAAAGAAAGGGTAATATTTTCAGTTGGTCGATATTTCCAGTGGAACATATCACTAAAGTCAGGTGGCTTGATAAACTCTGTCTTCAACTCACATATCGCCTCGCAAACTTTGCCAACATATCTAGAGATCGTCTCATCCGAATGTTGGAAATCCTCCATCATCGTTCTGATTATCTCATTTTTACCAGCGATTGTCAAAAATATCATGACTTGTTCTTCAATACTCATCCTCCTGGTTGATCGTAATTTCCCTTGTTGTGCCAAAATGTAACATAAGTTTGTAAAACAGTCTTTGTCCATGCGGCACTTGTCAAAGATTCTATCATCATGACCATTGAATACTTCCAACATGTAATCATGACCAGTTAATACGGATGTATGTCGTAAGCGACGCCTATCTGTTTCCAACGTATGATGCAACAGTTATATCTATCAGTATTTCTTCTTCGTCATTTACAATACGTTGTCTTCTTCCTGGACGCCTAGACGACACCATTTAAACTTGTACATTTGTAAAACATTGATCAACATTTAACAGTTGTTGTAGTACTTAGCAAAATATAACAGTCAACTTTTAATTCTAATTACAATCCCAAACTCATATGAAACATGTTATCTCACATAAAACAATAGCACAATGAATAAGTTCATATAGTAGCAGACATTTAGATACATTTTTCAAATCAAGGTGCTAAAAAAAGTTTGGGTTAGCCGTAAAAGGAATAACTGCCCACTGGCACTTACAAAACTATGGGCAAACACCTAGGACATACAAGGTCACCCACAAATTGCGAAAGTCGTTATAAATCCAATTAGCCTTTTCCTCGAGTAGGAGTTTTACGAATACCTCCCGCCACTCTGGATTTTGATATAAGTACTTGACAACCGACATGTAAAACTCTGTGGGTACTTGTATGGCCGTCAAGATGTCAATACAATGGCTCATGGAAAATGGATCAAAAGGAGCACTATTGTTCTCTTCGTCCCCCTCATCTCCACTGCAATTGCTAGCCCTCGATCCTATACTCCTCTCCACAAGCACATCCGTCAATCTGCCAATGACATCCACAAGTGCCTGTCCTAGGCTGCCTTCTCTTCCTCCTATTTCTCGATCTTGCATGACCAGATGTGTTTGACCTTTTTTCCCCTGTCGTTCCATCCAGATCAGGTTCGAAGTCACTATCATCAATTTCAACCAGTCCTTGATTGGAAGAAGTACAGTTCTCCACCGGTTGAGAAGTAGATGTGTACGCATATCTCCCTATGGTAGTTTGCTTCTCAAATATGACTTCATAAAGCTCTTTGTGAGGAAGTCCATCATGGAAGAATTGTTGCGCCTGTGGGTTTTGCTAGTAATGAAAAATAAACATATATTAATATCTGTCAGTCCCAAAAAAAATCGTAAAAGTACGGTGTTATAGATTAATATGAATTAAATTTTTTGAAATTTACCTTGATATATTCTTGCCAAACCTGTATGGGACACGTTGGAGTTTGCGACTCATGATCCCAACCAAAGCCTGTGTGTTGAATCAATTTCCGCCATGCTTGATATACTTTTCTCAGGCGAAAGTACTTAGAGGCTAATTGTGTCAAGTTGAGTCTCCTCCCACCCAATGATGATAAGTCATCCAACATATCCTGGTAATTTGTTGTTTTTATTGAAGTACTGTGGGAAGTTTTCGCCCGCTCAGACAACAGAACCAGAAATTTGTTGGTCATCTCGGCGGACCAGTTCACATTATTACTCATCTAATAACAATACGGTGAGAACGACAATCAAGATTGGAACACCATAATAATCAGCAAACACATTACCAACACACATACGCACATTTAAACCTCATAAACTAAACACAGATAAATCGTTACCTCGTTCGATCCAACACTACTTGAAGCCGTTAATGCAGGGGAAGATATGGGCAGTGTTGACCAACAAGGTGTATGACAAACTCCAAGTCTGGAAATACATCGAAACTTCCTCTTCTGCTAAAAGTAGTAATTGATCCTACGACGGCGAGCCAAATTATAATGACTTTTGTTCATATGATCATAATTTGTTGTTACGATCAAATAACGATACAGAATCTACCCACAATTTCCAGTAACCATGGTTAATTAACTGTAGTTGATAGTAACTATAGTAACCAATTCAACTAACTAAACTAATTACTCCTAACCATATACAACCATATTAACTACAACCTAACCAACTACGAATAAACAAAAACAACTAATGAAATTCATACACTGCATTGAGTACAAGTAAAACATAATCAAATGCAATACAAATTCAAAATAAAATAAATATAAACTAAACCCAAAACAAATGCATAATAAAACAAATATTAAGCAAATATTTCACAAATGCATCCTAAAACATAAACCAAATCATTCGGATCTGCCGGTGTGGGGTTGGAGGAAGGTGGTCGACGATGGGTTACCTTAATAAATCATTCGGATCTACTGGTGTGGGGTTGGAGGAGGGTGGTCAACCACGGGTTAATGCAGTAGTTAACGTCGTTGCTGCTTAAAGAATGTGGTGGCCTCGGGTTAGATGACCTCTTGCCGATGATGGTGTTGGATCTGGGCTCCTATGCGCCGGTGGTGGCACTCGATCGTGGTGGGCTCGGGTTGGAGAAGAAAACATTCATTTTGCTGGTGGATCTGCAGTCTTGTCAATGCCGGAGGTGGTGCTCGAACGTGGTGGCGATCGAAGGTGGTTGGAGAAGAAATGATTTGCTTTCGATCTGTCGAGGTTGGAAGTGGGGTGTTTTGCCGTTGTCCTCTTCCGCTGGTGGCTTTTTTTTTTTTTTTTTTTTCGCTAATATCTTGGTAGGAGGAGTTTCAGGTTCTTTGGGTATTGAGTTTGAATGCAGGTGGAAGATGGTCTACCTTTGGTTGTAATGTAGAAGATGGTCACTATTGGATGACGATCTGGATTTCCTAACACGGTGGGGGTATGAAGTTATGGTGGGTTTCTGAATGCGTTGAAATGTGTTAGCGTGTGGGTTTTTGAATGCCTTCGACTATGTTACCGTGGTGATGAAGAAGAGAAGAAAATAAGAAGAGATGGGTTTTTGAATGCCTTCAACTGTGTTACCGTGGTAAGAAAGACGAAAAGAAAATAGGAAGAGATGGGTTTTTGAATGCCTTCAACTGTGTTACCGTGGTGAAGGAAAAAAAAGAAGAAAATAAGAAGAGATGAGTTATTGAATGCCTTCAACTGTGTTACTGTAGAGAAGGCAGAAGGAAGAAGAAGAAGAAAATAAGGAAGAGATGGGTTTTTGAATGCCTTCAATTGTGTTACTGTGGTGAAGGAAGAAGAAGAAGAAGAAGAAAATAAAGAAGAGATGAGTTTTTGAATGCCTTCAACTGTGTTATTGTGGTGAAGGAAGAAGAAGAAGAAAATAAAGAAGAGATGGGTTTTTGAATGCCTTCAACTGTGTTACCGTGGTGAAGGAAGAAGAAGAAGAAAATAAGGAAGAAAGAGGAAAAGCAGAAAAAAAAAATAGCTCAGCTTTTGTTAGAACAGTCATTTATTGCATCAGGAATCAAATTTTTACAGTATGATTCTCTGAGTACTGAAACAAACACATTTCCCCTAAATCCAATTCCAAATACAAATAGAAATAGGGGGCCAAACGCACCCTAAATATTAGTGGAGAGTAGTGTGCGTAGGCAGCATAATGTGAGAAGAGGTTTAATAGTCCTTTTAATCAAGAGTTAACGACTTTTTTTCCACCCAAATCATGGTTTAATGACATTTTATTTTAGAGTGGATAAAGTCTTTTGGTGATGGAAGGTTAGATTTTAGTGGTTGGGATTTATAAATCAGAATTTGACTTGGGAGGGACGACTGCATAAACCTTAATCGCTCGATTGCCAGTGATTAGTGGGGTCAACGAGAGTAGGGTTTGAGAAGTTCTAGTAAGTGATGATTAGGGAAGAAAATGGTGATTGTGTGGGGTCGTAATGATGTTGGAATCGGAAACGAAATATAAAATTATATTTTAAATGTCTATGGGTGAGAAAGTGTCACTGAGCTATTATTTGGGTGGGAAAAAGTCGTTTACTCTTTAATCAATCCTTCAAAGATAGATCATGACCTAATGATTGTGGACCCACCCCATGTAGAATGAGTTATTATTGTTATTATTATTAAGCCTCTTTGGTACATTATTTGAAATATGATATTTCGAAAAACTATTCTGAATAAGATAGAATATGATTAAATCAAATAGGATAAGATTCTGAAAATGTGTTTGGTATATTTTTTGAAAATATTTAGATTATTTTTTAACCCCTACATTTGTTAATTTAGCTAAACACCCCCACAATAAAAGTTTATAAATTAACAAAAACATCTGCACCCACCCAACCGACTGTCAAACAGTAGTCAACAGTTGTCGGAATGGTGCACGACTAGCTAGATCTGGCCGGTCGTGTGCCGATGTGGCCTTTTCTGGCCATATCCACCATGTATCTAATCGAAAACGGCCAAATCTACGCCAAAATCTGGCTATTGCTAACGGACATATTTTTTGTCATAGATTTGACCATTTTTGGCTAGATCCATAGTAGATCTAGTCAAAAACGGCCAGATCTGACCGATTGTGCATTGTTCTGGGGTCAACAGCGGCGACTAGTGGTGGTTGCTGGCGACCGATAATGACTTGGGTGGGTGGGGATGTTTTTGTAAATTTATAACTTTTATTTTGAAAGGTAATTGTTAAATGTTTTGAGTTGAATAGAATATGATTGGATTTTGAATTAAATAGCCAATATTAAAACAAACACGTTTTTTGTAGTTTAGGATATGATAGGATAATAATAAAAAAAAATATTTCAAAAAATTAAACAAACAGGGGGAATATCTTTCTGTTCATAGGTTGAATCACTATAAACTCTTGTATATGATTGATTTTCTGGTCGTATCTTAGGGAATGTTCAGCAAAGAGGAATAGATGTGCAGTATTATTTTGATAAAGGGAAACTTGGGTTTGCTCCCGGTAGTTGCAGCGAATTAAGCTAAGTTAATATCAAGGAAAGATTTATCTCCTAATTAAGCTCTTGGAATTAATAGCCAGCTGAAGTGTGTTTTAATTTATGTTTGAAAATATATTCGGATTATGTAAGGTAATTTCAAATATTAAATGTCCTGAATTAGCTATATATATTGCCTATATCATTGTTCCTGGTGACCATGAATCTTATTCTAGGAGCTCATCATGGTTTAATTTTACATGTTCTTTTTCCTAGTGAAATTAATTTAGGTAGTGTTAGGGCCAAAAATCGTCTTGGGCTTGACGAGACCCAATAACGAAATAAACATGTCATAGCCCAAGGCCTCAACCCAATCCCGATTGGGCCTACGCTTAAAATCACCTTGCAACCTACCCATTCTATGAGTTAGGCTATCCTATAAGTTAAGTTAAATTGGGTTTCAGCCTATTAGCCTGCAACAGTCTATAAATAGGAAATCAAAATCCCATTATATTTCCTCTTCTACTAAGATTTCAAATCTTACTCAAACTATTAAACTTGATCTGATAAGGTCAAGAAATCATATCTCTTTCATGATAAAGATTATCTCCCAAAATAGGACTTAGCGTCCTACTAAGATTCCAAATCTTATTTATTAAACTTAATCTGATAAGGTGAAGAAATCATATTTCTTTCTTGATAGAGATTATCTCCCAAAAAAGAGGACTCAATGTCCTACTAGGATTCTAACCCCTTTGGTTCACTATAAAAACAGAGACTTGCCCTCTCATTAGGGAGGCAATCTCCCATAGTCAATCTAGAATACTCAAAACCATCTATTTGCTCCTGAAGTTCTTGCTCCCAAGAACCCGACGTCTCCGCCGTAGTCCTAGCTTTCGACAAGACTCCTGGTCTAGCGGATTGTCAGTGGCCTCAACCTCACGGGATCAGACCCTATTTTCATGATGGTAGATTTTTTGCATCTACAGTTTGGCGCCCACCATGGGGCCCTGACAATCATCTGCCAACGACGACTTACAACATGGGAGGCAATACAAAACTCCTTTTGACTAACAATGTTAATCAGAAAATCTCATCACGATAAGAATTTTTTTTTTCTTTTTTTTTCTTCATTTGTTTTATCTATTCACATGCCATATTATATCTATTCGGCATATCGTAATTTATTTTATATTATATCCATTCAGCGGGTAGTATAAGACCTTGAAGCTCATATTATTGTTCTAAATTAATAATACCTTCATATTATTGTTCTAAATTAATAATAGAATAATAATATGTCCGAGTTTAAAGTAGTGTTCCTAAACCACTTGATTCATTGACTTTGCTTCAACAATCTCTCTTCTCTAATCCTCTGTTTAGATAAGGCAATAGCTTCTGTCTCTAACCTCTCTGCACGCGCCTTTTCACTTTAATCATCAAACCACTAGGTGGTCCGCCAACGTCATCAGAGCTTTGCAACATTACCCGCCACAAAACCAATCAATTTGTTCATTGAAGAAGATGCCGCAATACGCCAGCATCTCCAGGACCTCCGCTCCATTAGAAGGTAACTCAAACTCGACTAGCCTTGATCCAATCCCAATTCAACTTCACGGAGATTTGCCACCACTTTGAAACCCAAAACCCGTCCATCTGTTCTCCTAAAATCGCCTTAACAGCTTCTCCAATCACACAGTAAAATCCTAAAAACACAGCAGTAATCTACTAAACAA